CACACACACACAAACTCACACTCACTCTCGCTCTCTCTTTCTCTCTCTTTCTCTCTCTTTCTCTCTCTTTCTCTGATGAACGTAAGGGACCAGTTTTTAAAAAAACAACTGAAATACATATATAACTAGTCTTCGATTATGATAATCATTTTATTTCAACTGTCATAACCTAATTACTGAATCGTTCTGAAATACCCATGCATCTTAGACCTCGGTGGTTAGCTTGATCAATTCCTTTTTGTTTTGCATTTCTTGGAATTAGGACTTTCTTTTCGATTGTTTTTCCGGGAAACTATTTGCCAACGTGCGTTATTGCTCTCGCAGTTAATCTTGGTGGAACAATGAGTTAAGAAGGCTGCTCTTTGTTGTCAGTTAATAACACTTTGTAGAAACTGTATTTCAAGTAGATCTACCCCGCAGACAGTACCTCGCATTGTTCAAATCTACCTGTGCTACTGTTTAGTGTTTTGTCTTCTTGTTTGTTTGTTTGTTTGTTTGTTTTGTTTTTTTCTCTGTTGACAGTTGTTTAAGGAAAGCGTTGTGGCTGTATATTTACTAATTTTTCACCTTCTATTAGCGTTTATTATTTTGTTTGTCGCTGTTGTTGTTTGTTTGGTGTGTTTTTATCTTTTAAATTTTGTTTTTGTTCTGCTATTTGTAGTTTATTTGTATCAAGTTTATGAGATTTTAAACCCATCTTTTTGTATGTGCTTTGAAACAGTATTAGCTACTCTGTTAGTAAAGCTTGCTTCGTACTATTGGCTTTCAGAATTTGTTGTTTTTTTTTGGCCAAATTGATTATTTGTATAGCCTTATTTTAATCAAGGTGCCTGTGTCTCTTTATTTGAGGCTAGATAATTATAACTTATTTTGTAGTAAGTCAATGCACACAGGCTGCTGTCCTTCAGAAGGATAGAGAGATTTACACTTCTAAAAATTAATATACGAATTCAATGATTCTTAATTAAATGTGAGGCAGCGTGGTGGAATCAGGCTCTCGTCAATTGTTGGGCATGTAGAGTTATTGGTATCATCTTAAAGCTGATTCACTTGCCTTTATTTGGATGAAAAATTATCCGTTTATCTTGAATAGAAGTCGAGATATTGCAAAAGAAGGAGGTCGGGTCACCTGTTTTCAGAGGTAAAATTAGTGAGAAAATGGCCGCCAAAGATTAGTTATTTCTTTAGCTTGAGAGTCCATGGTAACTGAAAATTTACATTTTTGTGCCTTTAATCAACGCTTTTCAGAAAAATCCCCACATAAATGAGTTCTTTAATGGGCATGAAAGGTGTTGAGCCAAAAAACAAAAATTTGATAAAAATTCACAAACCTGCAGAAACATGCAAGCTTCTTCACTTTGATTATTTTGACGAGAGCCTGATTCCACCACGCTGCTTCACAAATTTCTTTTTAAAACCCTCTGATTTGTCACTGGAGATATAATTATTATGGTCTTTTGTAAATATTTAAGGGTCGTTTTGCTTTTTCGCTTTTCATTGATCGACAGAAAAAGTTTTGATTTCATGAATCACGAAATAGTGAACATTATGGAAACAACATTTTGTTACAAATTGGCAAGCTTGTACTAATGTCTAAAATAAACACATTATGACTTCATCAGATATCTAGCTGTTGACGATATAAAGTTGAACGGAGCAAGGTTGTGTGTGTCTGTCTGTGTATGTGTGTGTGTGTGTGTGTGT